AATTGTGTATTTTTTTGAAAGCAATTAATTTTGAAAAAAAATACATTACAATTCCAGAAGCAAACACTCCCTCCTTCTGATATACCAAGGTGACTGGACTGATAAGATTTCTTCCGTCTGTCGGAAAAGAAAAACAAGGTAAAGCAGGTGAAGTAATTAAAATTATAATATAACAATGAATAATATAAAAGTTGCTTAGTAATGATTACTAGTAATGATTACTTAGTAATGTGTGATGTAAATAACACAAGTTGTAAGGTCTGTATCATCAGGTCTGTGTAACTGGCATTATAGGATTATATAATAAATTTATTTTTTAGGAAACTTTTGTCAGAGGTTTTAAGAGGCCAGGGGAAAAAACAACAAACCAAAACTATATTATCATGGAACTGTATACTTAATATCTGTGCATTTTAAGGTATGTAAATTTATACCTCAATAAATAAATTACAGTGGACAAAAAGTGAAAAGAAAAAATTTTCTATAAGAACATTTGTTATTAATAAAATGCTACCTTTGGGGGAAAATACAAAAAAGACATATTACCATTTTATTTAGACAAATCATGAGAACCACAAAATCAAAGTCTCAGGTGGCATCCATCAAATTATTTGTTTGCCACACACTACGTGCCTGACATTTTGCTAGATGCTACAAAGCACACTTGTCGTTCCTTCAAAGACTGTTCACACCTCCCAGCAGTCCTTCTTCCAACTACCACTGGAGTCCAGGTTGTTACAACTCCTGGCATGAGCACCCCAGGTACTTGCTGCTTACTGCCACCCACTTCTAGGATCTTCCTTCCTGAACTGTGGCTAAATTAATCTGCCCAAGGGCCATCCCAGTTGGGGTACATCCCCATTTAGGAGGTTTTGATGTTTGTCCACTGTCAGCTGAATCAAGTACAAACACCTTAGCTGCACATGAAAGGCTAGATACGGTACAAATGCCCTTCATCCTCCTCTACTTTTTTGTAGCACTTGAGGCTTCAGACAAACTGGACCACTTCTTATTTCTCAGCCTTCTCCATGTTTTGTCCATACAGACACCATTGCCAAAAATTCCACCTACCCACATCTCTGCCTATGCACCCATCCTTCAAGGGCCAATTCAAATGCAATCTTCAAAATGACTTAACTTGGACTCTTTCCCTCGTCTCACTCCCCATAGCACATTGTGAAGCTCTTTCGTCACGAAATCACCTTAACCTACCTGGGGTGTAATTATTTGATTACTTGTCTTATCCTCTTTAATAAAATCTAAGTTCCTTAAGGATGGAAATTATGAGACTATGTATTTGTCATCTATGTAACCTCTAAGGCACTCTGCTTAATGTCTTCCAGAGTGTAGAGGCTTGATAAATATGTATTTGAAACCATTTATAATATATCATGAAAATCATAAGAAATAGTATGTAGGAAGGAAATGGTGAACAATATAAGACTACATATAATTAAGTTCTAAATTGTATAAAATGTATTAGGTCTTATTTCCTGGGTTCAGGTGTCAGCTCCAAAGTTTATGTGAATTTGGGCATGTTTCTTAATATAGCTCATCTGTCTCATGGAGATAAAGGTGTGTGTCCTTATGATGTTGTTTTGAGGATTTCACGAAATATGCATGCAAAGTGGTAGCAGAATGCCAAGAGCATAGTGACATCAATAAATATCAGCAGCTGTCATGCTCATCCACAGGACTTGGTAACCAGCTAGCGGAGGAATCAAGGATGTCTCTAAGATAGGGAAAACCAGGGAAAACCAATAAAACCAACACCCACAGCTACACTTCTGGGAATACGAAGCAGAGTGGTTTCTCACCCAATGGTAATTCCTCCTCTATCTTATTAAGCACGGTTGCCTTCAAAGTATCTCCATGAATCATTAAAAGATGACCCTCTTCACAGCCAACATACAGATCACTTGTTGGAGTCCAGCAATGCATAGTTGGGTGAAGGAAAGGATACACGTCGTCTTTCGGCTTCAGAGAAAGAATAAAAACCTTGTGTTGAGACAACAATCACGGCTAAGAGCCAGAACAATTGCCAAAAAGAAACCAATGAATATGGGCCTATGCAAATTCACTGGTCTTGCTCCTTGCTGAGAGCTGAGTGAACTACTCCTTCTTCCCCATGATTCTCTCTCCACATTTTGATTCACTAAGAAAAAATAAGGTGTTCATGCCAACATATTCAGTCCTATTGCCGCAGATTCTCATGGAAGTTATGAGTAATAACTTCTAAGCTCTTTCTTTGTGGACTTTTTTGGTGTTTTGAATCTAAGAAGGTCGTTGTCTAGCTAAAATCACCCTTTTTGAAGGAGACTTTCATCAGCATTTCTGTCTCGTGGTTCTGCAGGGGGTGCAGATGTGACTTCCCATGAGCTGCTGTGGAGAGGCTGGCCCGGATCCTCCGCTTAGCAGCACTCATGGGAATGAGAAGACGGCCCTCTGCCTGGCTCTGGTGGCTTCTGTGATTGGTTCATGAAACATCCTACATGACTTTTCGAAGGAAAGAGAAATGCACAAAATGTACCTAGAAGAAAAGTGAATGTATCTAGAAGAAAAGCTGACTTTGGGGCCTAAAAACAATATTGACCAAGGGTCTAAGGCAAATTTTTTCTGTAAAGGGCCAGGTATTGAATGTTGTAGGTTTTATGGACCACATAGGTCTGTGTCACATATCTTTTCTTTTTTCTTTACAACCCATAAAAAATGCAAAAACCATTCTTAAGCTTAGGCCATAAAAAGCAGGCCATAGCTTGTTGATCTCTGCCTTAGATGATACCTTCAGCGTTGTTCCCCTGCAACTGCGAACACTCAACACTCAAGTATCCAGCAGGGAGAGGCCGCTCCTGCTTTCCGTCAGCACGGGGCAGGCCTCCTTGGAAGCCGAGGACCACCTGCTCTCCCTCTTGGAGGTCAAGGTAGTTGCAAGAACTATTTCGGGCATGTGCTTCACACTGCACTGATTAAGATTCCAAATTCAGGATACCATAATATGGCGCTTCCTCGTTTTTATTTGACTAATCAAACATACTAGCTTACTTTTTATTTGTTTATTGAGAATGTAACGTTTAATGCTATCTGAGCATTTTGTTACGCTATACTATTATTTAGAATTGCACTTGTTACAACAGAATGTCTTTGTTTTCTTTAGGTATCCTTACACGTATAGACATAGAAGACATTTTTTAAGAAGCTATTAGCCAAATTAACAAAATTCTGAAATTCCTTAACAGATTGATGTTTATTTCATTCTTTCACACAGGTATTCATGCATCTAACAAACATTTGTTGGGCACTGCTATAATCCAGGCACTGTTCTGAGCACAGGGATGTAGCAGTGAACAAAACAGACCAAAAAAAAAAATGTTCCTGCCCTCATGGAGTTTATATCTTGGCGGGGAGAAACAGAGAGTGAAAATAAGTTAAGAAGTAAAATATATGGAATGTGTATATTGTGTAATAATGTGTAGCGTAATATATTGTATGTATT